ATATATATATATATATATATACATACACATACATACACATATATATACACATACATACGTATATATGATACGAGTAATAACAATTTTGCTGGAAATACCTTATATAAAAAATACATGTGCAATGATTTTCGATATAATGACAGTGTATGTAAAAGTATGTGTGTATTTTTAATTCATAGAAATGATTTTAACATCGTTTCGTAACACGCAGAATGAACCATTTAATCATTATTGTATGAGATAAAATTTTGTTATATCCATCAGCAGATACCAAAATGAACTTTATTTTATTTATTTCTATATTTTGAATTTTTCTCTTCCTCTTAGTTTTCCTTTATTTATTTTTGATAATTATATTTATTAACGAATCTAGTTTCAATAATCTTGGCCTTTATATATGTCGTCAAGGTATCGTTATCACCTTGTATAATATTTAAAAATTTAAGCCATCCATCATTATTTATTAAAAAATTATACAAGAAGTTAAATAAGAAAAAAGTAAATATAATTTTTAAACAACGAATGTACACAGTTATTACAGTTGTTACAGTATGATTATATATTATGACTAATTTAAGAGGATATGCGGAATTATTTGATAATAATTAAAGATCCAAAAAATTGTTCATGCAAAATTATTTGGTTTGGAGAAAATATTATATGCCTGCAAATATTTTTTTGTGAATGATATAGAAGAGATTTCAAAGTTAATTTGCAATTTTTTTAATCATAATGCTGAAAATACTGAAAGTTTTTTATTTATAATATGATAGCAAATTCAAATAACATTAAAAGACACCTTAAAACGTCGTAAAAACGTCTTTTAGGCAATAAGGCGTCTAAAAGAGAACTCTTTGGGGCATATGTATTGTTGGGTGGTTATTGAGACAACTTATATGTAAAAATCATTCATGGTCATGGAAGATCGTAAATCAATGAGATTTATTAACATTCATCTTTATGTTTAATTCGACATGACTTTCAATGCTTTCCACCTTCGTAGTTTACATCATACGAATAATATTGAAAGTGTCAAATTTACTGTTTACATTACCGTGTACAATTATATTTATTCTCTAGTAGTCAACCAAAGCTGACTAAGCGAACAATGAAGAACAAGTAATATATATAATAACATTATATATAATAAAAAGTAATATATAAGTAATACATTATATGTAATACATTATATATAATATATAATAATTATATAGAGTAGGAAATGGTATTATAGCCTTTGTAAATATAATGGCCTCTTTTAAGAGGGTATTCTAGTTTAGCAGGTCGAAAAAATTGATTTTTTATTTTTTGCATATTTTGCAAATATTTGGTATGAAAAATATGTCTATAAAAAGATTTAGCCCAATGCACAAAATTAACAAAGTTATAACCTAGTTAGATTAGGTAGAGAGCGGTCTCAAGCGCGCGCTTGGCGCTCAGGTCACGCGACGCACAATAGAGCATTGTGTTTATAGGTTGGCTAAAGTTTAGAAAACCATTATTCTTGGAAGGCCATACGTTTGAATTAAGGTCTTTCTAAAGTATGATAGATTTTTACCTGCCTGTGAAGAAGCATTTGCTTTCTCGGCTCAGAATATAATGTAGCCACAATTTAACTACATACAGTTGCGACAGTGCTAGGAAAATGAGGGTTCGATTTTCTTCTGCGCATGTGTTGGTTGTAGAACTAAGAATATGGCGAATTTTTACAGCGATACCGGTGATTGAAACAGCACAGCTGAGTGTATAACACGTTTAAAAATATTTATACTTTAATATGAAATGAATGCAAGAAGTGGTATTTCATGTACGTTTGCTATATGCAAAAATATTTGTGGATGAAGAGAAAATGAAATAAGTTTTTTTCGATTTCCGAAGGATAGTGAAAGATATGTTAAGGTTACATAAAAAGTTATCACATAACAACAATTATATTAATATTAATATAATTTAGACTTTATGAACTTGTAAATAAGTAATATATATAATTAATAAGTAATATATACAGTCCTATATTCTGTATAATCATATATAAGATTCCTTTGAATTTTACAACTATTTTACGCGAAACACTACATCTCTTGATGTCGTTCAAATTCAGCGCCCGTATAACACAGTCACGTGATCAATGATCATTGACATCAAAGAAACCGACAGCTACTGTTGCAACTATATGTAGTTAAACTCTGGTGTAGCGTTGAGGCGACACCTTCATTCTGAGGCAAAGATTGTTGAAACTTTTCTGGCAGTTATTATCTTTAATGAAAGATTTATGCCAATTTTGAAAGTTATGAACGTGATGGGAGTGACTATTGGTCGGCAAGAGGAGATGTATGCAAACTTCTGGAACGAAGCTCGTGTCACCCGTTCGGAGCGGCCGGCGCGCAACTGACTTCGCTAGAAACGAGAGAATAAATCGCAGACAGAGCAGCTTTACAGGACTTCTATAAGCAGGAAGAAGGTTCCTTATATGGCCCTGGACTAGCTGATAGATTGTAAGTAAAATTATCTTTATGTAATCAGTAAAACTTTAAATGCGTTTTTCTCAAAACTATGTTCTTCAATGATATCTCGAAAACCAGTTGACCAATTGAGTTGGACTTGTGTATACATCTTCAACATATGTGTGGCTATAGCCGCTATCACGATTAAGTCGAAATATTTTTTTTATTTTTACAACCATTTAATTATGAAAAAAAGATAGCAAAAATCGAAACTTAATTTTCTAGATGACATTATTTTTTTTTAATTTTCAATATTTTTTTTTTCATTTTAGTATCTTCTATAGCCAAACTCATACTAATCAAGAATCTCTTTGGTTTTTTGTTTCAGATGAGCAGAACAGCCGGAATCATGGGAGCCATGGATCAACTTTTTTTTTCATGACCTCATTTAATATTATATATAGCACTTATTTATAGTTATTTTCTAATAAAAAATGTTTTGAAACGTACTTCAAATATGTATAAATATATAGAAAAAAATCCTGCCCCAAAAAGTTTTCTACATTTTTTTTTAATTCGCAAAAATAGCATAAAAATTCAGTTTCTAGACTAGAATACTCCCTTAATATCTTCACAATTAGATGGCAAATTTTAATGATTATTTATGGAATAATTTGTTTCGTAGTCCGCCGTTATATAATGACGCTAACATGCCAATACACAATAATCGGCATTTGTTATGACACATTTTAGTTTCGAGCATTTCGAAATATTTTTAATATACTTTAACACTTAATTTTATTTACTTCCTTATTATATTAGGTCATCCGAAAAGTTCTGAGAATTTTTGAGGCATTGAAACAAAAATTTATTGACACTGTTCCACTAACAATTAATCTATGATGCCCTGTCCATTTTGATCTATCACTTTTTGTCATCTCTCGAGCAAAGAGAAAATTCCGCACTCTTAAAATGATTTGGGCTTTCCTTCAAAGGATACAATCAGATGATGGCTTTTGATCTCTTTCAATGAATTGAACTTTTAATCCCTCAAAAATGCCCGGAACAAGTGATAGTTAGAAGGGACAATATCTAATGAATATGGAGTGTAGAACAAGATATTTTAACCATACTCAATGAGTCTCCTGCGAAACGTCAATGAGACATGTGGCCTCACGTTATCATGCTGAAAGACGACATATTTCCTATTCATCGGTTCTGGATGCTTCGTGGAAAGGGTTTCCTTCAGGTCAGCTAGTTGGATGCAATATTTGTCAGAATCAATTATGTGGTTCTCTGGAAGGAGCTAAAATTGGACAACACCCTTGCAATTCCACTAGATGCATAGCATGACTTTCATTGGTGCAGCTCCCCCTCCCTCTTTTGAGATTTGTGCAGGTTCAATCGACTTTCCTTATAATCAGTTTCTTGTCACACTACAATAGAATACCTATTTTTTTTTGTTGTCAGTAATCAGCTGCTTCAAAAAGGTCCCTTGGATTTTTTTTTAAGAACGCGTTGCACACCTCAATACGAGCGAGGAGATGGCGCTCAGTTAATATGTAAAGAACTTAGACATCGAGGCGACTCATATAACTCATATGTTTCAAATGGTCATAGAACGTGCTCTTGGGAACGTTGAAATCCTGCGAGAATTCCAGTACACTTCTGCAAGGGTTTTCATCGAATGCTTGCTTCAGGCGATCCTCGAGTGATGTGGAAGATCTTCCAAACCGTGGGGCATTTTCAAGCTCGACATCACTATTACGAAATCGCATGAACCATCGGCTGATTGTTTGATTTGACACAGTATTCTCCCCGTAAATGTGGTAAATTTCATGAGTAGTCTCCACTCCAGTGTTTCTCTCCCGAAAGCAAAAAAGCATAAATAACGTTGCGCAAATGAAGCTTTTGGTTGTCTATCTTCGCGATCGCGCCATCC